TTGAAAATCATTACTATTTTAGTATTTTATATGTTTTTTTAATTTTTTAAATAATTTTAAAAAAAATTTTTATATAATAATTTTTTGAAATATTATATTTATAACACCATGTTATATATAACACCCTATTATTTAAATTATGCTGCCACAACTAATAGTTAGGGTTAGGGTTAAAGTTAGATTAGGGTTAGGTTAGGTTTAGGGTTGGCCTAGTGTAAAATTAGGAGATGAGCATTTTTTTTTAGTTACACAACAGGTTACCCTAGTAAAATTTTGAAATAATTAAGATTTTTAAAAAATTTTATATAAAGTGTTATATAATATGGTATTATAGATATAATTATTCTAATTTTTTTTAATTTTTAATAAAAGTTATAAAAAAGAATAGTTGCTTTTAAAAAAAAAAAATTATTAAAAATTGTAGTAATTTATTACAACTTTTATATATGTTTGAAATTTTACAAATTTTTTTATATATAAAATTTTACTTGCAAAAATTGACAGAATACAAAAAATTATTGGATTTTTAAAACAAATTTTTAAGCTATGAAAAACTCAAAATTAGTTGCCCACTATTTGAAGAATTTTTTAAAATTATTTAAAAATATAATTATTATTTAATATTAATAGATAACTAGACTATTCAATGTACTAAATCTAGTATGGGTAAATCCAATCTATTAATAATTACTTATACCGGTAGGTATCGATAAGAATTATCAATAGTTATTAAATATTTAATAGTAATTACTATTTATCTATATTTAAAATTTCCTGATAGTATATATATTATATTTTAGCTAATATATTAATTATATAGTATTAATTAAACAATATAATTAGTAATTTTAAAGATCAACTCTCTAGTTGGCCAGTGTTGCTGGACAGATATTTTACTTTAATAACTTATATAGGATATTAAACAATAATTTTTTAAATGAATATTTATTAAAGTTATAATATATATATATATAAGTTTAATAAAATTATACTATATTATTTAATTTTGTTTGTCTCAATATTCTACCATCCTTTTAAACACATACAAGCTCTAATAGTTTCTGAACTTAAATTATTTTGTTTATCAGTTATAAGATTTTTACTACTAGAAAATACTCTTTCAACTGGAGTACTTGTAGCTAAATATAAAAAATTGCAATTATAATTTAATATTTTATAAATATATTCTGTATTTATAAAATATAAGTTATATAAATTATACCTTGAATTGCTAAAAAATTTCTTGCCATTTTGGCTAAATGTAGTAATTCCATTTTATGATTCTATAATTAATATTAATTTTTTTTTTATAATAATAATAATAATAATGCTATAATATAATTATATAATACTTACTTTTCACCATTCTAAAATATCTATTTCTATTTCTTTTGGATTAATGGCTGATTCTTCTAAATAAATAGCTAACTCATCTCTATTATCTATTTTACATCTTTTAAAAATATTAGTTGGCATTTTATTTTAAGTATCATCATTATCAGTAGAATCATTATCAGTAGTATCAATATCAGAATCATCTTGAGTATCACTATCATCTTGATTATTATTATTAGTATAATTTTGTTGAATATTTTTAAAAGGTTGATATTTAGATTTCTACAAGGCTTCTATTTGTCGTTTATAAGCTTTAATATAGTTATCAAAACTATGCTCTTTATAATATTGTAATTTAAGCCTGGGATCTAAAACTAATATAAATAAATATTAAATATACTGTATAGTAATTTATAAATTAATTTAAATATAAATTATAAAATATATTATACTTGTTCCAACAATATAAGCCAATCC